GCGGCTTTCACCGTTACCGACATAGTCGCGACGAATGCATCGATTTGTCGTTGAATTTCCAACGAGATCGAATCGCGTTGGAATCGTTGCTTGAATAAAGGTGAACTCGCACTTAGAAACGTGTAGAAGGACTGGCTAGACAAAAGCTGATCCAAGGACTACGAGAAATAACCAGGCAGACTAGTTCTTCCGACCGGGCTATAGAGAACAAGGGATTTCGGTTTCTTTCTGTCCACGTAACCAACTCGTTTCTCGAGACGAAGAACGAGATATGCGGAACGCCTACTTCCGATAGAAGAACTCGAGGAGAGATGTGTCGCGAGAAGAATTCTCACAAGGGAGAATGCGTCTAGGGACTTCTGGCGCGCGATCGCACGATTATTCGATTGCGTATCGAATGGGCGGCGTTGATAGAGAAATGCGGGAAATTTTAGAAATTTCAAAAATTTAACAATATGAAAATTAAAATGTTTGAAAATTAAAAAATTTGAAACTTTCAATACTTCAAAACTAGTAACATCTAAATGCATAGTTCTCACATTAAAAATTCCAATGAACTTGGTAAACAACGGTAGGTACTATGAATGCATGTACACTAATGAATTATTAAAAAAAGATACATCTTTTGAATAACCACTAACCATTAATGCAATGACACATCGTATCGATTTTATTTCAATTCACAGTTAAAATTGCTTGCGTCAAAAACCCGGAATAAATGAATTTTTCCTCGAAGCTCGGACATTTCTCTGTCCCCTATAATAAAAGGAAAATTTCTTCCTTTATATTACTCCTCTCTAGCATAAACTTTCTACCTAACGTGTGTACGTACATGTACTTGCCTAATAAAGAATCGTATTCACATCGGAACAACTCTTCCTTTTTCCAAACAATTTTCACTCGACAATTAACGATACTTCGAATGAACGCTTAAGGCATGTTCACATGTGTAAATATTTGCGTATTATCGTAACGACACTGAAGAAGCAGCTACTCATTACACCCGACAATTTCAAACAACATCCTTCATAAAACCGTATAACTGCTATCTAACAATTTAATAAGAAGATCGTAATAATTTCTACGAACGAGCAGAAAGACTCGCGGAATACTTCGTCGCAATCGTAAAATTTAACAACCACGTAATCGTCGTCTTCGATTCAAACGTTTTTTAACGTGTTAATGACAGACACTGAAGTACTACGAATGACAACATGGGAAAATTTTGTTTTACTAATTAAACACAACTCGTACGTGATCAACCGTGATAATGCATACATTTTCAAACAGAATTTGTTTATACATGCTACATTTTCCTTAGAGATTCCGGCTAATGCGTTTCTTTGACGCAATCAACGATCACCGGACACATCATAATCATAGTACAATACCAGAGATCACCACGTGCTAACCGAATCACGTGCATGTTGTATGAGATGATTACTTCGATTTATCTTCGTGGATCGCCTCCTTGAGTAATTTTGATAAAAAAAAAAAGAAAAAAAAAGAAAAGAGACCTTTTGTTATTTGTTTATTCAACGATATCTACATTCGTAAAGTATATAGATATCTTTAGATTTGTATTTCGAACGGTAGCTCAGATTAACGGACGAATTAACGTGTGAAAAATCGTCACGAAAACAGGTTTTTTTTTTTCATTTTCGTTATCTCTGGATTACGAGAAATGTAAGGTATTCGATAGAACGTGGAGCAATTCGGAAAAGATTTCAGTGTCTATATGAGTGTCAGATTCATTTTAAACGCAGTAGATCTCCGAAGTGAACAAGGTTGAATGAGTTGTAAGGGTCAGTATAGTCTATATAGGTGTATAGTCTGTGGCAAAAATATTCGAAAACACTTAACTGTTCTACTTCGTATTTTAATCAAACGTTTCTTATCGTGCTCGATTACAATTTTTAATTAATAAAGTTCGTGTTACGTTCGTCTATATTTACTTCTTCTTCGGGAGATCCTTGAAACGGAAATATAGCGATATAGACGAAATTTCAGAAGTACGAGGTAACTGAACAATCGTAATATTTATATTAATTTGAAATTCTGATCGAACACGATACAGTGCATCGTTCGAATAATTTTTCTATTCGTCGGAGTTATAGTTGAAAATAAAAGTATAAAGTGGCATAATGTTTGAAATATTTCTACCAGAGACTGTATATGCTCTTTAATAATTATTCACTACATTACGAACGCTGATGTAACGAACACTAATCTGAAACGGTAGATCGTTTGGATGTATGAAACGTACATAAAAGATTCATGAGTTAATGACTTTCTAGTCTAATAGTATAACTGTTTTCTATTAGTTTACCTTTCAAGTACATTTTTAGCCGCTCGCCTCTAATTTAATACATCAATAACCTCGTTGCAACTGATCAACGTTTAATGTGCTTTTAATATACCGCTTACCCTCGGCGATATTTTAAAAATAAATCATGCACATGCTAATAACATTTTTAAAATGATAAAACGTCGAGGTATAATAGGCCGCGAAGAGTAGCGACGTATACATATTTATAGATGATGCTGTCTATTAAAATCTGCTGCGGTAAATGACGAAAGTTGGTTACGCCTGCACGCGACACGGTGCGCCGATTGATCGATTTTTTTAACGCGTAGAAGTAATTTCCGTCGCTAGATGCGCAGCACTGTGGAGGAGCTGGATCAAACCGGTGCTACTAATCGACCCTAATTGAATTGACGTTTCCGGTAGCCGATTACACCCCCGCAACGTATCGCAGATGAAATTGCAAACGCCGCACCGCGAATGGGTTAATCGGGCAAAAAATGCGATTATCATCAACGATCGGTTAAAACACGAATTAAAAAGAAAAGAAGAAAGATTAGATAATTCCAGCACGAAAATTAAAAATTTTTATGGAAAAAAAAAAAACAGTAGGTAACTGCAAAGTGACTCCAAAGATAATTGAAAACCTCCATTTTTATTTCATCGATAAAAATGTAATTAAACGAAAAGGTAGATACCTACTAATTTTGGTTGAAAGAATGATTCAAAATTTTAATATAATATGTACGGTGACTAGAATAGAATTTGATCCTCAATGCTCACATTCTACATTGTAAACGTTCAAACACCTGATCTTTGCCAAGGTTTGAACATTTAAGAAACAAAGTAACATCTGTTTCTCTCAATCTGCATGCACGGTAATGGCAAAGCCGTTAACGGTGTATCGAAACGATGATTAGCTGCCTAGAGGCAAAAAAAAAACCCTGTACAACTTGAAATCCGCTCGAAGCTATGTTCAGCCTGTGCCAACGACGAGCGGCCGAAGAAATGTTTCCAAACAACTCAACAGGTGTGACACCGCAGAAACGCGACCGAAGGATCTCTCTATCGATACAGCGAAATCACGCGTGAACGGTTGTAAAATTATATTTCGAAAAATACTGAATTTCTAAATTTTATTCGTTCTAAAAAAGAAAACAAAATGTTGTAATGCGTTATTCAAATTTTATCGTGGTTAATTTATCAAATAGCAAATAAATTGCACAGACTGTACGTTTCACTTATCGTTAGCGAGTAATGTTTTCCCCACACCAATGGAATTTATTTATTACTTTTAAACCGTTTGAACTGATTAACGCTAGACTTGGAATATGCAATGACTTTAAAATTTTAACGTAATGCAGTTAGAGTTTGTTCGTTGCTGCTTAGGTTATCGGCTACAATGTCTGAACTTCACCACTCCGCTTTTTACGACGCACAGAATATTAGTTCATACATGTACATGTTCCTGAATCTATTTATCTATGCTATTGATATGTACACTGCCTGCTATCTTTTTACCGGCGCATAAATGATAAAACAAAGGTACAGCCACTACTGTCAAAGTCACGGGTTAAATGGTACAGCTGTAAAAGTAACTTCTCCCAAAGCATACAACGTAGGGATAAAAAAGGGCGGTAGAAAAATAACGTCAAACGAAGTGTCCATCTAGTGACAGAAAATGGCAGGTAAAAATACACAACGGTTAGGGTCTAGGATGACAGTGGTAGGTAGCAACACGAAAGAAAAAGCAGGTAGACGGGTCTATGAATAAAAAAAGATGCAGAGTGAGAAAAACGCAACTATTTTTATACTTCACGCTGAGCAGAATTTCGTTATCGCCTCGCAAATGAAAGCACCGGCGAGTGTTCGTGCGACCGTAGTGGCGCGCTCGAAAAGTTAACGTTATACCTCTAGGTACACATATACACATCTGAGGTGCACAATGAACGCGTCCGAATTACGTTACCGGCGGATCTCGATTTTCTCTAGGTTATATCATTTCACGAACACACAACTTTTTGTCAAGACCCGGTCATCGATCGCTGACCGATCAACTTTCCTTTTCTGTCGGATGTTTTTGGGGGGAAAAAGTTGAATAGCGAACACGTCGTTGATCAAATCAACATCTTTCTTTTTTTCTTTAGTTTCATTCGATCGTATACGTGACTAGATTTGCGAGAAAAAAAGATTTCTCTTCCGTACTCACGCGAGAAAAGGAGAAATTCCGATACTATGGACCCGGTGAAATTAACGTGAATGGCCGTTTCCTCAACGTGATTTCAGTTGACTAATTAATTTTCGTCGATCGACGAGATGCAAATTTAAGTGTCGCGTATCTAACACTAAACACACCGTTACATCATCTCGAATACTGATAAGTTCCAAACGATTCGAGAGGTCCGATCACGCGGTGCTGGGGTGACCGGTCGTGTGCCGGAGAATCGAGGGTCGTATGGAATTATCCCACTCTCTCGTCACTGACCTATTCTCTCAGGAAAATAAAGAGGAAAAAATGCGCGAGAAGAAGGAATTGTTCCACTAATTTTGACATTCGACGATTTTCTTGTCACCTTACACAATATTTTCGAATTCTCGATCGTAACGAACGAAATCACTCAGAGATTCTCAAATGGCGACACGGTCGCCCGTAACGAACGAACAATACCATAGAAGAAGAAAAAGGGACATGTACCTCTGTTGTTCCCCTCGTCGTAGATTTTGCCGGTTAACCTTTCTCGTTCGACTAGGTTGACGAATGTTGCCGCCTGTTCGTCGATGTTCCGATGCCGGTACGTGCACAATATGCAACAAACACGATTCTATACGAAACAGCTACGATCACACAAGATTTGGTATTCGTACGATTGCCAGTAATCGTTCCTCTGGATTCACCGTTCCGCTCGCGAAGGTGTTCTCTCTACTCCGAAATTGAACGATCTGACAGCGAACTAAGACTGAGATACCGGCACCACGCGGCCAGAGCTAAATATGATTGCCGACAAACACAAGCACGACACAACGAGCGCGCTTCGATACGAAGCGGAAGCGATGGTGGCGCCACGACACGGCATCCCATCGTGTTGATCTTACGACGTTACTCCATGGGCAGAAGCCTACGTGATCTTTTACCGTAGGAAACACTGATGCGGCGCAATATGATTGCTTACAGCCCTCTCTTTGTGTTTGACCTGTTCTTCTGTGTCAACGAGAATAAGACGTTCGCGGGAATTCCTTTGTTTGCCTCGTGTTTTGCCAGAGGAATTAGTTCTGAAGATGTTTTTGCTTGGAACATGCTGCAAAAAGGTTTGGTTTTTTCGATATTGTTCGGTACATTGTCTGTTCAGAATGTGTAGGTAAAGAGGAGCGGAAGTTTCTTCAATCGTAAGAGAAAAAACTTTATTGTCTTTCCATACTGGTAGCACTGCTTTTCATGTGAAAATACAAGATGATTCTTTCGGACGATTGTAAAAATGCGATCATTTTTTTAAATAGAATTATCACCGTGTTTGAATAACATTTTTGTTCTCGGAAGAGTGTTTTTTGTGTTACAAGTAGAATGGATATCGTTGTTTTATCTTTTCAGAGGATTTCGTAAGTGGTGTTAAATATTGAACTGAGATGATTTCGTAAATCCTCTTTTTACTGACACTTTTTTTTCGTTCCTTTGCAATGACCTTCTGGTCTATACATAGCACTTAGAAATTCATAACAACAGCAATTCGTCCTTATGTACATATTTCTTTTCAGCAATAATCGATCGTTTGCTTCGTGTAAAATGTATTAATATAAACAATCAATTTGCACATCATTTTCATATTGAAAGTGCCTAATTCATGCTCCGCGACGATTTGTTATTTAAATAATTTTTTTTCACCAAATACTCAGAGTTCTTGTTACCTTCAGTCGGTTAGGTAGACGTTATAGCCCCTCCTAATAAATTTTTTTACACCTCAATTACAAAATTTGCTTACATCAATTCTCAAGCATATCTTTTAGTAAAAATGTGATAAATAGAGCATGTTAAAAGGGCATTTAACACCAATAATCTATTTATCGCATCCTTTCATTTTACTTCACCCTGAATAGTTTAACCCTTTTTAAAAAAAAAAATTTGTATGAAAAATTATTAATTAAAAATTTATTAAAAATCCTAGAAACATAAACGTGATATCGTGCACATTTGAATTTCTGCAGATCCTGGCACGCACCGGAGTTTGTACTTCCTTAATCAAAGGGAAGCAATAACAACAGGGCTGTTAAAGATCATCTATACTTGACCGAGCGGTTACTTGGTAAATTGGATTAAACAGCGAGGACTACACGAACCTGGACGGTGGTGTGTCATTGGCATTTCAAGTTTTTACGCAGCGTAGTAAGTAATCTGAATTCCAAAGTCCAACCTTACGTGTGTGGCATCATCGCGCCAGAAAGATACGAGGCAACGAATGATGATGACAGTATCACGTGAATGATATAACATTCGCCGGATTGGCGAGTTGCTGACTGCACTTTGAGACCGCATTAAATATTGATCCTTGTTTAGGGGGCATAATCTGTGAGATGGTACACGTATTCCATGTGTGACACGATATCGTGAAGATATGCTGACTCATTCTGACGTAGCCAGTTTAATCGGGAATCGTCATTTTCGCGGTACACGCTCGGTCCACGAAGATCGCCAAGGGCTGGATAACTGGAAAAGCTGTGGGAATACGTGGATCGTTCTTTTCTTATTTTTGCTCGACAGTGGCGGTAACGAACGATCATAATGATATTGAGAGGTTGTTTTATAATGTACGTATCGTTGTTTGGACCACTGACAGTGGTACAAGTGGAAAAATTAATTTTAGTTCGATCCGCGTATGGTAGTGTTCTTTTGGATTGTCAAAGTTCGCGTTGAAATCTTTCAGATTCGGTGTGTTTTTCTGCAGGTTTAATAAGGTATCTTATTTAGGGTTATCAAATTAAGATTTTCAGAAAAAAGAAGTTAGAGAAGCTTGATATTTTGCAATTATTTTGCGATTTAACGAAAATTAGTATCTTTTGCTGGGGTCACGAAAGACCCCAGGGTTCAGGGTTAAAATTTTGCATTTGACTAAGAGTTGAATACTGATCAAACCGATGTGAAACTAACGAATGTTAGAAACCTGTCATTTTACATTAATGTACCTGCTTATGGAGTCCGTTTGTGCAAAATTGACACTTTGACAAATCGACGTGTTTTTTAAAGGGTAAAATTTAATTGCTGGTATGTTTTTTTTTTTCAATACCGAATCCTGCAAGTTTGGTTTCGAGGAATCGGGGTCAAGGATACTTTCAACATCTTCGAGGACCAACTTTTATAAATAAAGTCTCAGCTAGGCAAAAAATGAGAGCTACACAGGTGAAAGCAGTTGAGGAAGGAGGTTTTCGAGAAGTTTCACCGAAACCATAGATCTCTGTCTTTGTACCCGCGAATAATTGAGAATCGATTTGTTCAAACAATATTTACACGTATAGCGAGTAAAAAAAAAATCACAAGTCAAAGGGTTAAGTTTTCTCCGTAGTTTTCTTTTATTGAGTATGGATATTTGAAAGGACATACGTGACAATATTCAGAGGTTAAAGAGTTAAAGAGGTGTTTTTCATGTCGGCGACAAATAAAATTAATTTTATTCTATTATGAATAGAACTCTTAACCCTTTCAGAATGCCATTTGATGTGTGCATTTCTATATGCAAAAATTTTACAAATTTATCCTTTTCAAACTTAATCGAATACGGAATACAATGTTGGTATAGCAAAACATTTAATTATCGCCACCTGACACTCAGGAGAGCGATAATCTGAACGCAAAGAAACGAGGCCGTCCCGTTGCCGCTAAAAAGATTCAGCGGTACAAATTACACGTGGAATTTCCTTAAGAAACGGCAGGAACAAAGAAAATTTTCACTTTCTACGGCTGCACGAAGAAGCTCAATGCGTGGAGTTTCGCGAGGAGCACCGATTCTTTCCACCGGTCGCATCGATTGCATCAATTCTATCGATTTGCTGTCAACGCGAAGTAAATACTACTATCGACACATCATTGTCCTCGTTCACGGGTTTTGTGTACGAACGTCAATACACCCACTGCGCTGATTTTTCCAAATAGGACGATCCGATTCCTCCAACGCAATCCTTTTCTCCGAGGAATCATTTCGAAGCCTTTGATCTATCGTTCAAAATTCCCCCGAAAAAATTAGAATAAGAAAGAAAATTTAAATCGTGAGTAAAATTTATCACTTAGGAATCCTTTCAATGTTAGATTAGGTGAAAATGTTCCATTGGTAATTCTCCAAAAGTAATTTCTTCTGTCACTCGAAACGTGATTAAAAAATTTGTCTGATATCGATATAAATACAGAACCTGACCTTCGACTTCTTTCAGTATTAAATATATGCGAGTTCAAATGAAAGTAGCTGGAAACTTTCAATTCGAATATATGCATTTGAAGAGATGCATACTTAATTAAATTAGGAAAAACTATTCCTCGCTGAATGAGTCATCCTGCTATCGTGTCTTTGAACAATAATTCAATTCAACTCGGTCTGTTCAATATTTACAACTATTCCATGAAGAATACTTTACATTTAAACTACGTTCGACATCGAATACGGTTTATCCTTTCTCTGTCTCATTCACGTCCCCAGAGGGATGTTTGTCATCGATACGCGACTTCATTTCTACGGTTAATTTGCTTAAAAAGGTGGATGGAAAAAAGTCCACTCAGTCCATATTCGATCGTTGTCTAAGGCGTTTCGTGTTTCGTACAGGCATCGAATGAGTCCCGTGGAATCAGCCACTTTTTCGATTTTCCTGCCACTTTCAATGAGATTCGATCGACGATGAGCTGCGAATTTTCGATGCTCTCGATAAGATGTTCGCAAGGTACGTGTAAATTTCTTATCTGCGAGGACTCAGAGTTCCATTTTGTGCGTGAAAACAATAGCGATTAATGCAGAATTTAATTTACAATAAAAATGAGATTAATTCTGAGAAAATGTAAACTTTGAGAAATTGAACTTTTTCAAATTTATTTATTTACCTTTTAAGTAATAAGAAATGTCCCTTTAAATTTGAAACACCTTGTGCAAATTTATTTCTAAGGTGAATCTATCGAATCAAGATCGAATGATCCTTTTTCTTCGTTTCTCCTCGTCAATTTTTATATAGAAAAGAGATACGAAACTATACGATATTCGTATCGAGGTAGAGGAGCCGTGAATTATTTCCACGCGTTAGTAGAACAGTCAACGTCAATCGAAACGGTAACGTCGATTCCCAGCAGCTTCGAATAATTCCACGTGAACTCTACATTGTGAAAAATGTTAGGCAACGCGACGAAAGTAAACGAAGTTCTTAGCAACACTTCAACAACAGATTGTCCCTCTTCTTGTTTGTAGAAAAATGAAAATGGGATTTTTCATGACGACCACGTTTTACATGGCAACCAGCACATGCATCTTACCATCGCCCTTAACTCTGCAATTAATCCTCGAGTTTGCTAAGTGGAGAGCTTGGGACCAGATAGTCCTTTTCGAGAATTTGACTTCTTTAGGTAAGTAGAATCGAATGTTTCTTTTTTTCTTTTTTTTTTTCAAATTTTCACATACAAAGAAGCTTATCTCTACTCATATTTTATCTCGTTTCGCGGAAATGTCACCTTGTGTTAAGATCGAAACATGATCAAAGTTCTCCGTCGAATATCTCAGACGTGATTTTCTACTGCTGTTGAATTTATCAATACTTACAAATGTTGCAAAACGGGTTATACGTCCTTCATATTATTGCAGTGATTAAGTATCAAGGCGCATGTTATTAAATAATAGTTATTGACTAATTGTAAATGCAATTAATTAACACGTTCCTCGGCGAAGAGATTCACGTGAACTGATATTTTTTCGATTTCACGCAAGGAAGTGTTTGCAGACGTATCTCGGGTGTAATCGAG